TGGTGTATTTCTGTTGTAGTTCAGTGTCGCTCATTTATATTTTTTCGAAGTAAAAAACATGCCAATGGGGACAAGACTCACAGAGGCCGAGAAGACGCAGCATTTTGGCATATGCGAAATGTGGTAGAAGCCAACGGGACATCGCAAAGGAAATAAAACGCTCAAAAACCGTTGCACAATAGTTTTTTGCTAATTCGGACGTCTACGGATCAAAAATGCACCCAGGACAACCAAAGAATTAACCGACAGGGATCTCCGTTGGGCAAAAGCCACCACCAATCACTGTTTTTCAATATTAAGTGTTATGCAGAAAAGACGCTTCGGAAGCGTGAACGTTTGAACTTTGCGAAAGGCGACTATGATAAACTCCGTGAAACAGTGAATGCGGCAAATATTTTGGACTGTATTAAGGACATGAATGTGGCTGATTCATGGTCGTTTCTCAAAGACACGGTTATGTCTGCAGTTGATGCCAATGTACCCAAGATTACGCTTGGAGGAGTCAAAAAATCCCAGTGGATGACCAGTGCAGTTAAGACTCAGCTAAAGACCAAGAAAGAAGCCTACAAGCGTTATTTACGAACTCGCAGGGAGTCTGATTATAACCTGTATGCCAGAGCTCGAAATCAAGCTAAAAAAGTTTGTCGCACTGCAGTGAAAAACTTTGAAAAANTGATACGAGTTTAGATCTATGAACAAGGCACGAAAAGGAAAAGAATCGGCGACAGGCCACATCAGGCCTACATTTCAGCGCCGACATCATTATGTTATGTTATGTTATGTTTTAAGCAACTGTTTTCAAAGGCTTCTAAAGCTGGCGCTACATCTACTTCTATGAATTTGGCCACTGGAGTTGATGTGACAGCACAACGCATCCGTCAGATATTACATGACTCGAAGAAGTTCAAGTACATGAAGCCAAAAATGCCTCTACGCTCAAAAAAATCATATTATCAACCTGCTAAAACTAGCTGAATAAATGTGCTTATCGGCGAAGGATTATCTTCAGTGATGAAAAAAGTTCAATCTTGATGGTCCAGTTGGATGGCAATGCTGTTGGCACCACCTGGACCATGAGCCTGAATTCTTTTTCAAGCGGCAATCTAGTGTTGATTCGGTCATGGTACTAACCTCAACCCCATTGAAAACCTATGGGGCAACATGGCGAGAGATGCTTACCAAAATGAGCGCCAGTTCCAATCTGTGAGTGACCTGAACACGGCTATCTTTCGTTCCTGGGATAAAATTCATCAAATAGCTCGTGATTATTTGGTAAATCGCATAGGGAGAAGATGCATCGAGGTATCTAAGGCGAAAGGAGGTAAGATTGCACATTAAAACGAGTGTATGGGATCCAAAAACAGGAAAACCGTTTTTGATCTTATAACCATTTTCACCTAGGATTTTCTAATTTTCATCAAATCTTCTCATATATTTTGAAAAATAATTTTTTTCGTATAGCGTTGGAACGTTTTTAATCGTATTTAACCTCATATAATTAGAATCCAGTATTTTTTATGCAAGAAAACATATTTAACTGAATATTTATTTAGAAACTGGGTGGTTGTATATAGCCATATCCGCCACTGTACAATTGATTTAAACTTTTGAAATACCTTCCAGAACCCGTGCAATAATGAGAGCCTCACACATATTGCATACATACAGCACTCCTACCACTGTCATATGATGCACTAACTCGAGTGTGACAGAATAGGGAACGCTATCCTGCGTTAACGCTGGCGTATTATGCACGGCAAAGCATGGTAAATGCAGTAGGCACGCAACATCCGTATCAGAGCTACATTGACAAGCGTTCAGTGAGAGTTCAGGTGATCAATAGGCCTGCAGGTCCGTATCCTCGAGGCGAATTTTCATTGAGGATATATCAGTCAAACCTAAATTACAAAGAGATGTTTGATGGTCTTTTGAAAAGCATTGAAAATTAATTTCTCATTACTAAAACATATTTGACGGCTTTTGTGAACAGACCAATCATCTTTATGTTTTTCAAGTAGGTCGTCGCGTATAAATGCGCGCAGGCGGTATGGATAGACATATTTAGTTCTATAACTTGTCTTGCTAATAAATAGGCTCCAAGACCTCAGCAAAAGATAATGACTTCCATTCTCATTTGTTATTTACAATATTGAAACGACATCTTTATTGTTAGTTTTAGTTATTTGAAGTGAGTATAGCTGTAAACAGTCATTATTAATGTTTTCAAATATACCGATTTAATAATATCAATAATGGTCGATCAAGTACCTTATAGAATCGGAAATTAGGAGTTGAGGGCAATATCTATCCTTGACAACTTATCAACGAAGATCCAAAAAAGTATTCAATGAACGTGGTGGTTATTAGGACTACTGATGGTCAACTTAATGCCACAATTCCCCCTAACACGTTGACTCCGAAGTGGTACATATGCGTACTACGACATGTATTTCTCCAGGACTATAGTGGTACATAATTCATGCACCACTAATCTCCTGTCAACCTTGAATAATTGGACTCGCCTGCTGGATGAAAGGGTGCCAGTGGATGCGCTGTACCTCGATTTTGCCAAGGCATTTGATAGTGTTCCGCATGAGCGACTGTTACGTAAAGTGAATTCTTTGGGAATAGAGGGAAATATACTCCAATGGATCAGGAATTTCCTAGTAGGCAGAAGACAACGTGTCAGCATTAACGGAACCGTATCAGACTGGGTAACTGTGCGCAGTGGCGTACCGCAAGGAAGCGTTCTTGGACCTGTTTTGTTCGTCGCTTGTATAAACGATCTACCAGAAGTAGTGTCAAGCGTGTGCTCCATGTATGCCGATGACACTAAAGTTTATAATACAGTTAAGGATGCGTCAAATAAAATGCAACTGCAAAATGATCTTGATAGTTTAGTTGACTGGGCTGATGCGTGGCAGCTGCGTTTCAATGCTGACAAGTGTAAAGTACTTCACCTCGTGAACAGACTAGACAAGGCCATGCATGAGCATATGTTCAGTCTTAAAATGCCTCGTACCCTACGGAACAACTGATATCTAGAAGCGATTTTAAATCTACCGTCTGTAAGGCCAGTCTAGTCAAGAAAAGTACAAGAATCGGCGACAGGCCTATCCAAGCCTATTCTTTAATGCCGAAGATACTATACCTACTATACTATAATTCAAGGATGACAGATGGCCTAGAAACGGCCAATTCCGCGACAAAAAAATGCCAAAAATCCTATAAATCAATATACACTAGTATGTTTGTAGGTTCCGGTACAAAAATTCCAGTTCTTTTTATTTTTAAATTTAATTAGGATGTACCCCAATTATAAATTTCAGCCGGCCAGCGCTGTCGAAAGAACTAAATCGCGGAATTTTTTCGAAAAAAAACCGTCTGGCAAACCTGTTTCATAATAAAAATGAAATGATATTGTTTATTTTCATTTATTGTTTTATTTGAAACCCATACTAGGATTTGTTTAAATTCTGAGTTCCGTTTTGAAATCCTGCTCGGGTGTGCAGGTCTTGAATGCCCTTTGGATGACAGCGCGCACATGCAGTGCTGGTTTTATAGCTTTGATGGCATTCACTTTCTTCGTTTTGCACTTTTCCGATATCGGTATGTTTTCAGTAAACATTAGAGACACAGGAATTATCTTCAATTCGCACCAATATATCTAGGGATGACAATTTGTGATTTTGTCAAATTTCATGGGTAAACTTCAAGACTGAATCATGTTCCAAAGCTCTTCGCAATTCATTCTAGTGCTCTTCGTCTGGAATGACTACGAAAGTGCAATCTACATACATGTATATCTGCAGTAAAGCTCAGGTTTGATCTGTGCATTGAGTAACATTCGATTCTCTAGTTCACACATATTAGTGAGCAATCGGGAAAAGTGAGTCAAGTTCACGACGAGGAATTGTAAGAAGAGGGAGCTCACTATGAATTCAATGGCGATCCATGTTAATTTATTCTCCCCTTTGCGAGTGACTCCTCCCACCAGGCAGATAACGTTGAAACAACATTGAATTACCGTTGATTTATTAATAACGATTAAAGTGACGTCGATTTAACGTTAGATGTCAGGTGGGCTAAATAGTTTGGAAGTCTTACGCTGCGCAATTATTGGAAACCAGGAACTGCAGGCCATTTAGCCTTATTAGAAACAATTCCTTTTTTTATCTCCAACGATAGTGAAATTATGCATTCGATTGCAAATCTTAATTTCCAACATGAGGCTTTCAATTTAATGTCACGTCAATAAAATTCAGGCTAAAATTCTCAGTCAACGCTGCATAGTAACCGCGTCTCGAAAGAATGAGACACCGATTGTCACTATCGTAATTTTCACATCATAAAGACGATAACCAAACACTGTCTGGCATTCAGCAATTATCACTGAAGCGCATCAATTAATCACGTGACTTACATTCAAATAGTTCATGGCTTAAGTCTTATACCGAAACTTTATTTATCTGGCTATCATAATCGTTAACCATGGTAACTATTCTTCATTAATTATGTTGACTCTTCTCCAAAGAATAGATTTGCAGAGAACTTCTTAGTTAAACGCGTCAAGTTTTTTAGAATTTTTTAGAGTAGGTACGTTAACTCATCTTATATATAATTGTCACACAAATAGAATAGCCTTTTTCGTCATATAATCATCAGCAGTATATTAAATTGTCCTGTGTACACGTATTCTTATCATTCGTTTGCTTTAATCGCAGACCAAACAGGAATTTAAGAGTGAAAAAAATGTTAAATTCCCGGATTTTTATCGATGAAGGAATGAGATGAATATTATGTGAATTTGCTTTCTTTGCTTTTTGATTACATTTTAATAATAATAATAATAAATTTATTTGATTAAAATTTATTTTCCAGTTTAATTTATGTTTACAAAATCTAGAAATCGAGGATATTTTATGAACAACCTCTTATTATCCTCTTTATTATCTTATGAACAACCATTTGGTTATAATAAATTCAGTCTATAGACTTATAGTTTGACTCGCAACAGTACAGAACACTCGCCCAGCTGCCGAACTCTGATAAGCTATCAGTTGTCCCTAGAATATTCGCTCCTCTACTTTGCTTCGTTAGTAGACAGCGGGATGATGAACTCTATCATCAGTTTGATAAACGCGTTCCTCCAAGGAAGTCACTAAATAACTTGTACACTGCTATAAGTTTCCGCGAATATATGATATAGATAAGTAATCCGAATACTCTTTGGTGGTATTACTGGATAAAATTATTCGATCATCTCACATAAAATGAGGTCGATTGACACATTGCACTTATCAGTTTATTTAGTGTTGCTGTTCACGGTGCCAAAACAAGTGTGCAGCTACAAGATTCTAATGGCCCTCCTTTTAGAGAGCGATTCAGTTCATTTTTTCTACACGAAGATTGCACGGCATTTGGTTGAAGCTAACCATTCAGTCACGTTTCTGACCTTCCATGATTCTTCTTTTACTCATCCAAATTTTGTAAACGTAAACATTATGGAAGGGGAACCTCCGTTGAAAGGTAACGCATTCGACATGGTAGACCTTGAAGCCGCCTTCGACGTTTTCTATGCTGAAATAGCAAGGATCGGAACTCGGTTGTGGGAAAACCAAGATAATAAAAAACTATTCGATAACCGCCACGAGTTCGACGCCATCATTACATCGGCCGGTGGAAACAGTATTGTCTTGCCGTACGCAATAAACTTCACGGGACCACTCATACTGATACAGAATGCGGGTGTTGAATATTTCGCGACTGCTTTCTCCGGGAACTGGCTGCCACCCTCTGTGGTGCCATCCATTTTAATGCCGTACGATGAGCACATGAGTTTCTACGAGCGATGCATGAACGTGTTAGACTTGTGGAATTTATACCACGGAGATTTGAGTTCCTGGTACAAATTTGAGTCCAGTTTTCTAGAGAATTATTTCCCTGGGATTGGTGACATCTCAAGGTTGGTGTTTTGCCCGATAGAAATTTTCTGTCGCGGAAGGCCGCATAATTCCTATGGATATGTAATTTAAATTTTATGTTTTATTTCAAGTTAATTGAATTTAATATTACGATTGATCCAAGTGATAAACAACTGCGAATGTCTAAGTGATATTCATGAACTTCTTGCTTAATTTAATTATCATATAAGATATTTTATAATATATTCCAATATGTTAATCAATTGAGCACAAACCTTACAAGGTTCTACGGACAAGCCTCCCTCACCCTCATCAACGGCCACCACGCCCTGGACAACCCATTGCCCCTCCTGCCCAACCAAGTGGAAATCGGCACTTTGAATGCCCACACTCCCGAGCCTCTGCCCCAGGTATGCCTAGAGATTTTCAAGCGCTTTTTTCTCATAATTTCAGATTAAACATTCTTATAGTCACTTATGTTTCACTAATGAATGCGCAAAATCTATAAACTATCTAGAACGGGCAAAATCGCAGTCCAAGCTTTGATGAAAAAATTGGTTCGTATATAAATCTAATATATATTTTGGACAACTATTGATCCAAGCCTGAAATTTTCAACAAGTTTAACATTTAAAACAATACCGAATATAATGAATGAAGAAAACTAGTTATTTTCAAGCTGACATTTCTCTTTCAACGCTAATATAAAATGAAACTTTTTTATCAATCAATAATATTTCGCAGTTGTGATTCCCCCAAAGCAATGTTTAGAACAAAAATATTTTTTGCCACAGGACTTGGAGGAGTTCGTCGCCAGCAGCGGCGACCACGGCGTCATCTACTTCAGCCTCGGCAGCTACGCCAGGAGCTCTGACATTCCAGCGCGGGCAAAAGTTAGTCACAGAGACTCACAATACAAATATGCTTAATATAGAGTTAAATGATTATTTAAAGGAGGAAAATGAATATTTGAAACAGCGTTTTTGCTGTTCGGTTAAGATTGTGGCCTTATACAAATATGTCTATGGTCCACTTGAATACCAACAGCGCTAACAAAATTCGGGACTGCCTAGACTTCGGCCGAACAGGCAGTACACTCAGCGCAAAGTTATTTTGGGTCTGCTTGGTCACCCAATCGAAATCGAAATCAGTTTCTGGTCAGAATCTTTTATCCGAATTTAAGGTCGTCTGACAGAATGACAAGGGTTGGCCGATCCGAGTCATACCGAGCTATCAAGTTGCCCATAGGCGACCCTCTGAACCCTGAGCTGAAGCGGGCATGGAGAAGCTGATTTGCGTGCTCCCCAAGTCCCAGGCGGCCCTAATGCAGGGTCGTGCAGCACGTTCTAAATTTTGTTAGGGAGTGCATGTAAATTCAATAAACATACTAAATCCTTTATTCAGAAATGAAGAAATACAAAAATTTTAGCCGAACCACTTGGGAAATTTGATAAAAATATAACAAAAATGTTTCAGCCTTCGCCTTCATTTATTTCAGACAAATCATAGAGATTTTAAAATTCTGATACGTTGCAGAAGTCCTAACTTTGTGAGATTCGAATAGAAGGAACTCTTTATAAAATCATTCCAATTCACACCAAAGTATTGTTCCCCGACAAGATATCTTAAAAAATTAAAAATTTATCCCAACTTACGAAGACTCATTTACAATGAATTAAAAAAATCAAATTTGCGCCCAAATTTTTTCCATCCGCAAGATGGAGTTTGTGGAAGCTTTCCGAAGGCTGCCACAGAAAATCATATGGAAATATGAGGCGGACGACCTCGACCTTCCCCCCAACGTCCTCACGAGGCCATGGCTTCCCCAGCAGGACATTCTGGGTAAGAGTTCGACTTTTAGTTAACATGTGTCCTAGCAATTGTATTCTAATTATGAAATCCAAATCGCTTTATATTACATTGAAAAATAACTATTAAATAAATTAAAATCCGCTTAACTGACAATCTTTCGTTACAATCTGAAGTGATAAATAAAAATGTTACTTAATTTTTTTAGTTCTTTTCTGAAATTTTCTTTGGACGCTACCGACAACGAGATCCTCAAGCGCAGAGAAAATAAACATGGTACAGAAGTTCATCAAAATGATGAAATGGCAAGCCTTTTTATCTAAATAGCGAAATAAAAGTTTTGGCTGTGATATCACAGCCGTTTCAACAGCTCCAACAGTTCCATCAAACACTTTGGTCATCTTTGGTCTCGTCACTAACGTGTTAGGTATTCAGTGACGACAATTTTTTGTAATCGTAAAAATAAAATCTAAACATTCTTCGAACAGGCCACCCGAAAACTCGAGTGTTCATCTCGCACTGCGGCATCATGGGTGCGCAGGAGGCCAAGTACCACGGCGTACCAGTGCTCGCCGTACCAATCGCCTTCGACCAGCACCGCAATGCCGCGCGGATGGTGCGCCAGAAAGTCGCAATTTCGCTGTCATGGAACACGGTCACCGCGGACCAAATTGTTGATGCTCTCTATATCCTCGTTAACGACACAAGGTGAGTTCATTAGGTAAGGATTCGATTAATGTTATGTCATCGTGATACACGTGCCCACTGCAGGCGCAAAGTGGCTTTCCGGTATGCATATAGATGTGTCCAGGCGTTCGGATGTGGCATCTGATCATCAAACTAATATAATAAATTGGCAAAAAATGAAGACGAATTAAGGCACAAAATCGATCTTTGAGCTCTACAAACCATCAGAATATGTATATCTTTGTATCTCATGTTTCTTTCTAACTGTATTTTTTCACCCTACAGCTACTCGGAGCGCGTGCGTCGCACGTCCGCCGTCCTGCAGGATCAGAAGGAGAGTCCCGCGGACCGCGCCGTGTGGTGGGTAGAGTACGTCATCCGGCACGGTGGGGCGCCGCACCTGCAGTACCCCGGCCAGCGTCTGCACTTCCTGCAGTACATCTGTGCAGATGTGCTGCTGTTCCTCGCTGTCTGCACATACCTTGTGTACAGACTGGCTAAATGCATCCTGCTCTACTTCGTAAACTTGTGCTTTGGAAAAGTCAAACCCCAGAAGACTAAAATTAATTAACTTCTCTGAGACTAAACGAAGAAAATACTGACCGAAAATTTTGTTGTTTAAATCACTTGTTCTCAAACAATGTTTCGAGTTTAAAGGTTTGTATATGCATTTGCTGGAAATTTACAAATGGTATTTTTTGTTAGGAAAATTTAATTTCATCACCTAATTGAATATTTTAGTTCTGGTATATCTAATAATCCCTGGAGCACCGCACGATAATTTCCAATTTCGAATTATGTGCAATTTCAGAAAAAAATCTTCCATGCATTTGTCCTTGAACTTTTTTATACCAATAATCATTTCCTTCACTCAATACTGAGCGAATGACATTTAAATCATAATTAATATTGATAACGTCCAGAGTTCACATACAGAGGTAAATTAAAGAATCAAAAAATTCCCTCCGACTGATACAAATCATGAAAATTTTCTGTCGACAGCGTTATTAAAGTTTACAAATTAACGTCGTCCCATCTGCCAAGTTAATAAGGTGAATATCCCACTCAAAAATTCATGAGGGAGACGAAGGTTGTAATTTCATTCGCCTGCCAGATATTTTAAAATTAATTTCTTGGGCTGATTGGCTTAACAATTTGAGTGATGTTGCTCCCAGGACAATAAAAATTTGATGACTTCCTGAGTGACCTATTGCATTTGATAATTTTTGTTCACATAAAAAAGTGGAATTTTGTATAAGATTTTTTCCTTTCAGTGAAAATTCCAGGTTGAAGTAAACGCAGGGTGCTCTGGGAATGATAGTCCCAAAAATTCCAAACGTAATATAATAATATAAATGATATTTAGGATAGAAGTAATCACGAAATTCAAAATTATGGAAAATTTCGTTTGAGAAAAAATATGTGTATGTTATATATGTGTGTTAGCTTGAAGCCCAGAGCATGCTTTATACGTATTAACGTTTTTCACGTTTACACGTTTTTTTTACGTTTTTTCAATGAGTCGCAGAAGATTTCTTGCTAGCACCAAGATATAAAAAAGCTGGTTATCAAATGGCATTTTAATGGAATGCAACGCTTCGAACATACAATATTCATTATCAAGCAGGTGAAAGGGTTTTGCATCACTTGAAATTTAACTTTTGAAAATGACAGTGGCACAAATCAATGGTATTGTGGATGCAGTTCAAACTATTAGCTTTAAATAACTCTGAAAATAATTTCAGCGTCCGGACGAATTCTGTAGTTGGGAAGTTGATAGCTGGAGACTCGCTCTTGATAATGTAGGCCTTAGCTATCACCAGTCTCGATGGGTCAGGGCACCGCATAACTATGCTGGTGCAGGCCTCCAATGTTGCTCGGGTGATGGTCTCATTGTGAGCCTCCCGCATTTGGTTCTTAGGTCCTCCAGATGTAGGTGGCATGTGAGTTGACGGCTTATGGTTGTGCCAGTAAGACTAATGTAGTTCAAGTTTTGAAGAAGTCTGCAACCTTCTTTATTGCATGAAAATTAAAAAACAACATTAGTTTCTGGGAGTAATTCAGGTTTATTATAGGGATTATTATAATGGCACGTATTAATCATGACTCGTACAGTATTTATTATTTTTGTAGTAGCAGCAGTCAATACAAAACAAATGGAGCGACGCACTAACCGTCAGACTGTCCCTATATTTCCTAGCTGACAGTCGCTAGTGGTTTAGAGTCTATATATATAATATATAGTGGCGCACGGAGTAATCGGGTATTGACCCGGGGCCATACTTTCAAAAAAGTTAAGAGATCGTAAGTTCATCAGCCAATCATTGACGGCCTTTCAAGCAAAATCTACCTATCATAGACAATAAAATAGTCCGTAAGTACTTACGTTCACTTAGCGAATTTTGAAAGTATGGCCCCGGGTTCATAACCAATCAAAGCAAAGGTTTTCGACTTCTCTGAAGTCTCAGACTCTCAGTCTCAGCGCACACTGCACATTACCGCGCTCGCTATTGACAAGTGATGAGTTATAGTTGTGTCGTGCGTTACGTTGAGCTCACTGTTGCTTTTGTAACTATCGGTGCTGTTAAATTAACATAAGAGTTAGCAAAACAATAAATTAACATAAGAGTTAGAATAGAAGTGTCAGCATTGAAGAAATAGGCCCATGGCCTGTTGCAGATTCTGCACTTTTCGTGACTTGATTCACAAGGGATCTGGCCTTCGGAACGCGATCTTTCCATAACTGACGATTGATTGAGATAGCTGCTGGACTTATTGCAAGACTCGTAAGGTGCTAGGCATTTCAAGACTGAACATATGTTCCTGCATAGCTTCGTCTAGTCTGTTCGTGTAGGCATTCATACTCGGAGCCTCAACGATGCTATCAGGGAGACAAATGTTGTCGCATGTATGTGTTACGAAATTTTTTAGTTTATAGCCGTGGCCCTGGTGTTGGTTCGTGTTTCAAATTCTAGTAATCCTTCTGGGACCTTGTATAAACCGTAGGTACTAGGTATACTTGTATATGTACTTCAATGAGGTCACTACGCAGACGTTGAAAACAGAGGCTCGGAAGCTTCATAATTTCAAACTTTTATTCACAAAGCTTGCCTTTTAACCCCGGAATTATCCTTGATGCACGTCTTTCAACACTCTCGTCTAAATTTTTGTCATTTTCTAGTTTTGCTGATCACATGGCGTTTCCAAACTCTAGGTTCGGGCGAACGACAGCGAAAAACAACAGTTTCATCGCTTCTGCATGTATGTACTCGCAAGAGCGTCTGGTCAGTCCAAGTTGTTTATTGGCTTCATTAACTTGAGCTTCAATATGCCTAGAAAATTTCACTTCATTGTCGACAATAACTCAAAAATCTTCTTCCATTATCGACTTCGACATCATCACAGTCGTTGTGAAAGACGTTGTAGATGGAACCTGCTATCAACCATATGAACAGCGTCTTAAACAAAAAAAAAAGAGAGAACATCAATATAGAAGCAGCCGAATATATACTATTACATAGGAAGTAAGCAAAAATACAATGTATTTTGATGAAATATGTGTTCTGGGTTTTTTTAACAGAATCTGGGAGAATCTGTGTGTTTTTTCAGTAACTGTCTAAGTTTTTCTCAAATTATGGCTGGGGGGTGGGAGGCTGAGAGCCTGAGCCCTGGCCGCACCAGTGCGCGCGTCCAGAGCTCGAGCGAGTAGTTCGTTGCTCCGTGAGCCCGCCCGGTGTTACTTTATAATATGATGTTATAGGTTATAAAACCTATTATATCCATGTATTCCTCTATCGTCTTTACTGTGTATGATTCCAGAATTCGTGATTCCAAATTCATGTTATTAAGTGCATATTAAAGTTGTCACTGCGAGTAATGCCACGCCGATATATGGGTAGCCATTTTTACGAATATTTGCTCATGGGCTCCTACATTATGGGTAATAGCTATTTCTTAGTATGAATTCGTCTAGGGACAATTATTTTGAAATCATTATTTGCTGCATACTAAGACGTACCGATTTGATTTTTTATACCATTTGTACGAATACATGTTGTGGTTTAATATGGTACTTATTCTTGACAGGCAAATGAAAATGGAAAAGCACACTATTTATTTTCCAATAATTGTGTTCTATGATGGTCTGGAGGTGGCCATCCTAGCTGTAGCTGGTGACATCGGCTGTCTGGACAGACTTTAATTTGCCTCCAGCTCAATCACAGAATCAGATTCATCGATCTTGCGATCTTGCCTTAATCAATCTCCTTCAACAAAAAGTCCGGAAAGAAATATCAACATTTTAAAATATAACTAAATTTAAGGGAAGCGTCTGCCCCAAAATAAAAAATTTTTACTTCTTTTGGTTTTTATACTCATCTTAAAGCTTACATTCTGATGCATCTAACGGTACCAAAACCATCTCTGTACGTTGATTAATGCGTTCACGAAAGATCGCGAAAGGGTTAGGGGTAATGAAGTTCTTTAACATTTAAGATAGGCCTAAATTACAGGTAGAACACTTAAATAGCTAGTCTGAACACGCTGTGCTTCAGTTATCCACCTGCAGTCGTACGGGATGGTTCTTCGTGCCGTCGTTCGCACCATCCTTGACATAAAATGAGCTCTAGTATCGTCTAGTCTTGCACCCTAGCAACCTTCAATGTCTATTTAGAGGGGCGTGCGACTTTGTGGGGCTCTACTGAAAAGTTAACTTATTGTCACTGCAAAGCTATCTCCTCCTAGAGTTTTGAAGCTACATTAATGAAAGATATACCGTTCGAATCGCAAATAAAAGATCTACAAATGTTGCAGAAGTTTTTTCTAATTTCGTTATAGTTTGGATTTTATTCTGCAAAAAGGGAGGGGTGGTGGGGGTAAAATGAAAAAAATTTCCGAAAAATTCATGAAATATGCTCCCATACCCACAAAAATGTGAATTTCAAAAAACCGTCTGCATCAGTTTTAGATATGGTCTTTATGCATCGAATGATATGTGACTCGATGTTGTAGCTTGAAAATCCTAGGAGGAGAGAGACTTCTACAGTACTCCCTTTTTGTCCGTTTTCTAAGAATTTCAGGTTTTCTTTCATTTTTTTCGAAAAATTCACTCAAACAAAAAAGTCTTAGAATTCGAATTTCTAATCGATCCGTCGATAAATAACTGAGATAAAATTTGGAGCAGACGCTCCCTTTAAGTTGGAAAAATATAATAGTTTGATCTCAAAAAAGAACTCTAAATATCCATGTTTATCCTTTCTAAATAACGTTAAACAAGCGTTTAATAACAATTCAGGTAACTGCGCAAGGGTAAAAATTTCCTGGAGGCGTAGCACAAAATTTTACTTAAGGCAGAGATAATCTAAAACTAGCTTTAGTATTATTAGGAATATCTTACAAGGACTCCACTCCACTGTCAACTAATTGGCCTACTATTCTAGACACTGCGTTCCTACTCCCTAAGCGCTACATGGCGCCTGAACTTGTTCCGAACGCGTAATGAACTTGACTAGTATTCGTATAACGGTTCCCATAAAGTGCCATCGAAGCTTTACTTAAGACTTGAGAGTAACATTTTTTACTAAATACTCAGCCATACATTGACAGGTTTGCGGTGCTTGCCGGACCACTAATTAACTGCCATGTCAGTTAGTCAGACAAATTTTGCTAAATCTGAAATTAACTAAATTTAACTGGTAACTGTCTATGGCCCTATTAGCAATAAAGGTCTAACTTAGCATTCTTCAACCCATGTTTTCGAAATGATTCGCATCGTAATTGAAAAACTTGTTTTGTCGTGAATAATTTAAATAATAGTAAAATCTCGTCTTGTCTCGTTTCAAATCTGTCTGTCTCGTCCCGGTTCATAATTTACCGGGACACAAGTTTTAAAGGCCGGGACAGAAGTCTTGTCTCGGTTCATACGTTTATTCCGGAACAAATTTTACCCTCTGTCCCGTTATTTTTTTCCCTGAATTTTCTCGTCTCGTTTCGTCTGTCCCGGTTCATTTTGAGAAAATTATTTCGGGACGCAGGAGTCTACGCTGCATAGTAACCGCGTCTCGAAAGAATGAGACACCGATTGTCACTATCGTAATTTTCACATCATAAAGACGATAACCAAACACTGTCTGGCATTCAGCAATTATCACTGAAGCGCATCAATTAATCACGTGACTTACATTCAAGTAGTTCATGGCTTCAGTCTTATACTGAAACTTTACTTATTTTACTACTATCGTTAACCATGATAACTATTCTTTCATTAATTAGGCTAACCCTTCTCTGAAGAATAGATTTTCGGAGAACATCTTAGTTAAACGCGTTAATATTCTTAAAATTTTTCAGAGTAGTTACGTTAACTAATACTCAATTGTCACACTAATAGAATAGTCTTTCATCCAATAATCTTCAGCAATATTTTTAATTGACCTGTGTACACGCATTCTTATCATTTGTTTGCTTCAATCTTAAACCAAACAGGAAGTTTATAAGTGAAGAAAAAATGTTCAAATTCCCAGATTTTTATTGATGAAAGAAGTTGAAAAGAAAATTTGGTGAATTTTTTTTTTTTTTTATTGCAATTCATCGCTAAAATTTCTTTTTCCGTTTAACAATTGTTAACAAATTTGAGGATATGTTATGAGTAATCTCAATGTTTTCCATCATGTTTTGGTTATAATAAATGCAGTTTGTAGACTTACAATACGACTCGCAACAGTACGGTACACTCGCCTTACTACCGATCTCTGATAAGCTATCAGTAGTCCCAGAACATATGCTCATCTAGTTTGTCTCGTTGGTAGACTGCAGGATGATGAATTCTATCATCAGTTTGATAAACGCGTTCCTCCAAGGAAGTCACTAAATAACTTATACACTGCTACAAGTTTCCACGAATATCTGATATAGATAAGTAATCCGAATGCTATTTGGTGGCATTACTGGATAATATTATTTGATCATCTCACAAAAAAATGCAATCGATTGGCACACTGCACCTGTTAGTTTATCTAGTGTTGCTCTTCACGGTTCCAAAACAAGTGTGCAGCTACAAGATTCTAATGACCCTCCTTATAGAAAGCGATTCAGTTCATTTTTTCTACAATAAGATCGCACGGCATTTGGTTGAAGCGAACCATTCAGTCACGTTTCTGACCTTCCATGATTCTTCTTTTACTCATCCAAATTTTGTAAACGTAAACGTTATGGAAGGAGAACCTTCCTTGAAAGGTAACGCTTTCGACATGATGGACCTTGAAGCACTCACCGACCTTTTCTGCGCTGAAGTTGTAAGGATCGGAACTCGTTTGTGGGAAAATCAAGATAACAAAAAACTGTTCGAGAACCGCCATGAGTTCGACGCCATCATAACATCGGCTGATATAAACGGTATTGTCCTGCCATACGCAATAAACTACACGGGACCACTTATACTGATACAGAATGCGGGTGTTGAATATTTCGCGACTGCTCACTCCGGGAACTGGCTGCCGCCCTCTGTGGTGCCGTCCATTTTAATGCCGTACGATGAGCACATGAGTTTCTACGAGCGATGCATGAACGTCTTTGACTTGTGGAATTTCTACCGCGCACAATTGAGTTCCTGGTACGAGTTTGAATCCAATTTTCTAGAGAATTATTTCCCTGGGATCGGCGACATCTCAAGGTTGGTGTTTTTCCCGATAGAAATTTTCTGTCGCGGGAGGCTGGATAATTGATATGGATATGAAATCTAAAGTTCAGGTTTTATTTTAAGTTAATAACGTTTAACATTTTGGCTGAACCAAGTAATAAACTGTGAATATCTAAGTTATATTAATCAACTTCTTGCTTAATCTAAAATTTTCCATAACATATGCCTATATGTTAATCATTTGAGAGCAAACATTACCAGGTTCTACGGACAAGCCTCCCTCACCCTCATCAACGGCCACCACGCCCTGGACAACCCAGTGCCCCTCCTGCCCAACCAAGTGGAAATCGGCACTTTGAATGCCCACACTCCCGAGCCTCTACCCCAGGTGTGTCCAGAGATTTTCAAGCGATTTCTTTCCATAATTTCTGCCTAAACATTGTTATAGTCACTTACGTTTCACTAAATTGATCTAGAATGGGCAAAATTGCAATTCAAGATTTGACGGAAAAATTAGTTCAAATATAAATCTAATATATATTTTAGACATCCATTGATCCTAGCATGAAATTTTCAACATGTTTGCACATTTAATACAATGCAAAATATAATGGATGAATAAAACTAGTTATTTTCACGCTGACATTTCTCATTCAATGCTAATTTAGAATGGCGCTTTTTATCAATCAATATTATTTCGCAGTTATGATTCCCCGAAGGAATGTTTAAAACAACAAATATTTTCTGCCACAGGACTTGGAGGAGTTCGTCGCCGGCAGCGGCGACCACGGCGTCATCTACTTCAGCCTCGGCAGCTACGCCAGGAGCTCTGACATACCAGCGCGGGCAAAAGTGAGTCACAGAGACTCACAATACAAATATGCTTAAATAACGAGTTAAATGAGTATTTAGAGGAGGAAAATGAAATCCAGTTAAGGGAGTGGTTATAACAGCGTTTTTGCTGCTCGGTTACCATTTTGGCTTTATACATATATGTCTATGGTCCGCTTGAATACCGACAACCCTAAAAAATATTCGGGGACCGTCTATGCTTCGGCCGAATAGTCACTACCCTCAGCGACAAGTTATTCCGGGTCTACTTGGCCACCTGATTGAAATCAGTTTCTGGTCGGAATCTCCTTTCCGACTCTATCGTCGCTTACAAGTCGGATAATACTATTCTGACAGATAATACTGCTCCTTGAGTATTAAAACCCTGTCGTAATTTTTATTCCTGTCAGCCGCCGGTACAAGGACGCCTCATGTTCGCCTAGCGGTGTAAATTAGCGGCTCTATGCCCGCTTTAGGTTCCGGTTGCCGGAGCGAATTAAGCGCCGAAACAGAATCTTGTGAAATACCTGTCGAGCGTGGGGCGATCGCAAGGGCGCATGTATTTGGTACCTGATACGTTCGGGACAGACATGGCCGAATCTGAAAAAATGCGTTTAAAAATGCTCCTTCCTTTCCCCCCTTATGGGGGGAAGGGAGGGGACATTTCAATCTCTGTACGCTATATGCAGTCTAGTACTACTCGCTTAGTTGTAAGATCAGAGAATAGTCTACCAGAGGCTCAATTTCCATGCATAGATCTTTACAGCTAATAACTATTTCGACATGGCATGATTAGAAATGACGACAATAATCGCAAATAAAAAAATCAAAAGATTCATCAATATAACTGATTTAAGGTAATGCAAGTCAAGTCAATTCCACCTATTAAATCTATGTATCCTGTTGAATTAACAACGCTGTTTAAAATAATTGTTAAATTATTTGCCGTAACATGTCATGTAACTTCCTTCACATTAAATTTTTATCGAGCAAACAGTTCTGCAAGGGCCTCGGGTTTCTGCGAGAAAGACCACACAATAGAATGGAGAAGCACATGTTAATCTTAACAAAATCGAGTTACGGCACTAACTTGATTGCAGCTTTCAGTTGTTCACACTTCATAGCAAATTTTTCAGAGAATCGTTCTGCATCCATCGTCATCGACTGCAATGACGATATTGAGTGTCACATGTAGTTCTTCTCAAGCAATAAAGTTATCAACTGCACTCAAATTGCTGAAGAGACTATCAAATAAATGGCGGAATATACGATAGTTATGGAAATCCTCAAATCAAATATGTTGCTCACAGAGGGGCTCCGTGTAAGCGACAGTTCATAAACTATCTTCTGCTTGAGCAATAAGCTCAAGAATGCAGACATATGCCTAAAGCTGAACAGTTCTTTTGTTGAAGAAACCATTCGTCTAGCAAAAATTTTACCGGGGTCTGAACAGCTGGAGTGTACAACGAGAAGATGCACAGCATCGGCTGTGAGTGAACACACAGTAGGATTCGGGACCGGTAGAGACTTGAATGTGGTGGACACTTCCCTAGAAGCACCGCAGTCGTCGGCCTACGTAGGAGCCGTACTTGTTGGCCAGGCAAGAAATCTATCCTGCCAAACAATGGTGGTAACACAGATAAATAGCAACACTATCAATTATCAGTTATTCAATTCAAATTAGCGGGTCGTTTAACACTTATTGGAAAGTTCAAAAGCTGAATTACAAACACAGAATTAGCCTATCTTATATCTCCCCTGCAACTCACCTACTAGGGACGCTAGTCACGCTACACAGTCACTAGAGTACAGTGAGATGAAGGTGCGCTCCGACCAAGTCTCAACGGAATAATAAATGGTATCTTAACGCGGACTTCAGCCCGAGGATGCCACGTCAGCACACGCGACACGGTAGCTAACTTTACCGGTAACATTCTACCTAATAATTTAAACCGAAAGAAAACTCTGACAATGGATGAATTTCCCTTACAAACCTGATGATACAACGAAATAGAGTAGATAGAACGGAACAAAAGCAACTAACTTGCGAATAATCGGAATATGCTTTGCAACCTGTTCCATCGTTCCATCGTGTTCAGCTGGCCGGCCCAGTGGTGTCGACTGTGATAAACTTTCGACTACACAAATTGATCCAGTTGACGTGTTGATTTAGAAATTAGAACCTTAAGCATACAGGATCTGCCATATTTATGGCAACGGATGTTTGCTATATACAAATAAATTGGTTTCTAGTAGACTTTTCTTTTATAATGAAGCTTAATAACATCTATTAATTCATCTATTTTATATTGCAGAAGTCTAAGTTGTCTAAATTTACTATAACTTATGGCAGTAGATAGAAATGCAATTGTAACCCTTCATGAAAAGGTCAAGAGTAATTCAGTCATTGCAAAAAAGCTCCAAATTCGTCTTGAAACTGTGTGGAAGGGGTAAAAAAATTCAACGAAACTGGTGAAACATGCAATCGACCTGGTCAAGGAAGGAAACGAAGTGTCCGAACAAAACAATTAGTTAAAAACACGAGGGAGAAGTTGAGGTGATACCCTCGTCGCTCAGCTGCAAAATTTGCTGCAGAAGCAGGAGTCAGTCAGACATCAATGCGTAGAGTCCTCAAAGATGACCTCAAAACCTCCCCTTAGAAGATGCAAACAAGGTATGAACTAACAGACCGTCATGGACGAATGAGGCTTGAAAGATGCCAGCACATTCTGGATCTCTTCGAGGATGGCACGCTGCCCCACTTGGTGTTCAGTGACGAGAAAAAATTTAACATTGAACAAAGCGTTAACCGTCAAAATGACAGAGTTTGGAGTCGGGATGGATCTGTGGCAACCAGAACAACAACACGACGTCAAAATCCCATGTCCTTGATGATTTGGGCCGCGGTAACCGCCACTGGGAGGTCCTCACTCGTTTTTGTCCCCTCAGGTGTGAAATTGAACAGTCAGCGAAACATTTTGGACGCTGCGTTGTTACCTTGGGCCCGTAAACACTTCAACGGCTCACAATGGAGTTTTCAACAAGACTCTGTCCCATCACATGGCTCAAACATGACACAAAACAGGATTCAAGGTCGCATCCCAGCGTTCATCAGCAAAACTGAATGGCCCTCAAGAACCCCTGATTTGAATCCTTGCGACTTTTCTGTGTGGGCTATTTTGGAGAGTAGGGTCTGCAGAACACCTCATGATTCTATGGATAGTTTGAAGTCTAAATTGACACAAGAATGAGACTTGATCCCTCAAGAAATGCTGCGTGTCTCGTGTGAAACTTTCCCGCGTAGATTGGAGGCCGTCATTAAAAATAAGGGTGGTCATATTGAATAAATATGTCTGAGAATTGTTTAGGTTATTTTTGGCTACTAGCTCATCCAATAAAAAAAACAATGCACTTGTTTCATTGAGAAATAACAAAAAACATGCGTTGCAATAAATATGGCGGCCCGGCTTTAAAAAATAGAAAAAAAAATTATATAAACAGGAGCAGCTTTAGTAACATGCTCGTGTCGACATGCCCAAAGTTGAAAATTTTTCCCGCTGCCAAAATTTTGAACCCACAATTGCGTAGTCTTGATGAATGCCGCCTGCCGATGAATTTGTAAGGAAGTTTTAGCAAAAGTAAGGAATTTGTATTGCTATAAATGTCAAAAACGGTAATATTCAGTTTTTAACACTGAGTTGTTTGCCAGATGTAGATTTCACTATACACGATAAGATTACACAATTCGAAAGAGATGCGTGTATCAACCGACGTCCGCACGGGACGAAGAACTATATCCCAGTGACATCTGACGATGGAACAACGTTGATTATTGGTTGACTTCTAGTTGAAATGTTGAACAACCAAAATTAAACGTCATATCAACGTTGAAATCTAACCAACACTAGAAGGGACGTAAAACAACCTTATTTCAACGTTGAAATAACGTCGATTATGGTATGTTGAATTTTGACTACTTTTTAAACGTTGCATCAATGTTGATTCTAGGTTGAAATGTTGAACAACCAAAATTAAACGTCCAATCAACGTCGAAATCTGACCAAAACTAGAACGGTTGTAAATCAACCTTATTTCAACGTTGAAACGACGTCGATATTGGTATGTTGAATGCTTACTAATTTTTAAACGTTGAATCAATGTTGATTTCAGGTTGAAATGCTGAACAACCAAAATTAAACGTTCGATCAGCGTCGAAATCTGACTAAAAATAGAACAGATGTAAAACAACCTTATTTCAATGTTGAAACAACGTCGATATTGGTACGTTAAATGTTTACTAATTTTTAAACGCTGAATCAATGTTGATTTCAGGTTGGAATGCCTAACAACCAAAATTAAACGTCTGATTAACGTCGAAATCTGACCAAAACTAGAACGGACGTAAAACAACCATATTTCAACGTTTAAATAACGTCGATATTGGTATGTTGAATTTTTACCCCTTTTTTACGTTGAATCAATGTTGATTTCAGGTTGAAATGTTGAACAACCAAAATTAAACGCCTGATCAACGTCGAAATCTGACTAAAACTAGAAAGGACGTAAAACAACCTTATTTCAAAGTTGAAAAATAGTCGATATCGGTACGTTGGATGTTTAGCTATTTACCAGCATGGAACTAATGTTATCACACCAACATTGAATGAAATACATATATATAAGTGTGACCAGATGTAATGACCAAAGAATGCAGTTCAATTAATGATTAATGACCAGAGGATGCAGTTCAATTTTCAAGGTGTAGAAAAATTCTTTAGCTTATTTCTATTGCTCATGTGCGCGAGCTGCCTTAGTCAAGGTTGCTAAGGCGTCGCGCGGTCTCCAGCGACCCCGTGTTCGAATCCTGCTACGGATGAAAAACAGGTTGGTTCTTCAACGTTGAATCGATCAGAGAATTTGACGTTGCAGTAATGTCGTAGTAGTAAGATTGATTCAACGTTGCATTGTAACGTCAGAAGGAAGTTTCCTGAGAGACTTTGCTTCAATTTTCATTCTAAACCTCTCTTCCCCCCGCTCCTAATGTCGTAATGCGTAGTTTTTTCAACGTCGATTCAACCATAGAAATCAACGTTGCAGCAACGTCTTAGTAGCAACATTAATTCAACGTTGCATTGTAACGTCAGTACGACGTTTCATGAAGGATGTCGCTTCAATTTTCATTCTAAACCTTTCACCCGATCTCAATGTCGTAATGCGTAGTTGATTCAACCACCGAATACCTGCTGGGATACCACTGCTCAAGATCAGTGCCTCCGCAGTCCGAACTACCTCTCACTGCTTTGTATCAAGCCGGGTAGTAGATAACTAACCTCCCACTTTTTATTAGAGAGAATAAAGGGGATTGTTTTGGTACCCCTGTCTCTAAAACGTTAGTGTTTTGGTGAACACACGCAATACACACATCTTGACGTACAAGCAATGCACGCGTGTTCATGTACACATATCGCAAGGGTGTCCGTACAAGAGTAACGCAAGCGTGTTCACGGAAACGTATCGCAAGCGTCTTGACATGAACGCGCGGAGTTCTGTTCTAACCGTTGAGGCAAGAGGTTCCTTGTGCTGAGCTCCCGTGACAGTAGCCGGCTTCGGCCGGCTGCTACGTCATCTTTCTAGAACTATCTTTCTCGAAATTTGAAAATGCCGTACTATCCCACTCCGAGGCGTTGAGCCGGCGGATGCCATGGTACGACCAGCTTAAGTGAAATTCAACCCCGGAAGTTCTGAACACCTATAAATGCTCCCGGCGTCTAACTGCCAAATTTCGTTACAAAGATTTTAAGATGCCTCCATGTGTGGTTAGTACCCCCGGGTTCGTGGTTAGTGCCCCCAGGTGAGTGGTTAGTGCCCCCAGGTGAGTGGTTAGTGTCTGACTTTCTGCCCTGGAGTGGGGCTATCTGCCCTGGAGTGGTGCTCTCCGCCCCGGTGTGGTCTCTACTTTGGTGGCCCCGTTCTGCAGCCCTTCAGCCATTGAGAAATCTTGAGTTTTTTTTTCAAGACACCCAATCTTGTTCATGAAAACATAATTCGGGCAAGTTCCTTCAACCGTTCTGACATGGGGCCGCATTGAACCAGTCGTTAGAGGCTCCCATAAATTCCAATTAAAGAAAAAAAGACATGAACGCGCGCATGCGGGTCGAAGACAACGCAACGCACGCTTGTTAGGCACGCGTAATGTTCGCGTGCCGATGGACAATCATTGTACGCGTAATGAAGTTCGCGTAACCCTAAAATTTCGTTTCAAAATATTGTCCCAAAAGTTTCGAAGCGGTTTGCGTGAGCAAGAAAAACCTTCAAATCAAGAAAACATAACGCCCACACGTTGACGTGCACGTAATGCATGAGTGACGAAACGCACGCGTTTAGGAGCTCGTGCTACCACTCTTGCATCGTATATGGGTTTTTGAATTAAAGGCTTGTCACGCTTGCGCTAAGGACTCACGCCAGCTACTGAGCACGGCAAGCCAATGGTGGCCTGACCAGCCGCTGATTCCGTGTGTCATTTGACCCTTATATTTTTTACCATGGAACTACCCAAAATAGCACCTATTGGGTGGCTGATTTGGGGAGGCGGCCATTTTACATCTGATTCATCTCTAATCCGAAAGCGGCAACCGAAATCCGAACGACAGCCGCGTCTAAATTTTGACAGGGAAGGGTTAGCCAAGCCGAGTTATACCGAGCTAGAAAGATGCCAAGAGGCTATCTTTAGAACCCTGAGCCGAAGCGGACATAGAGAAGCTGATTTGCGTGCTCCTTGAGTCCTAGGCAGCCCTAATGCAGGGTCGCGCAGAACGCTTCTGAGTTTTGTTAGGGGGTGCATGTAAATTCGACAAACATACTAAATCATTAATGCAAAGGTGGAGAAATACCAAAGTTGGAGCCGAGTTAGTTGGAAAATTCGATAAAAATTTAATGAAAATTTTTCAACCTTCACCTTCATATATTTCAAACAAATCACAGAGATATTAAAATATCTATACGTTGCAGAACGATTTGATGAAAATTTTACCCTAAAATGAAGATGGGTCCTAATTTTGGGAGGTTCGCTCACAATGAATTTTTTAGAAAATCTTTATAGTTCACACAAAAGTATTGATCCCCTACTAGATACTGTATCTTAAAAAAATTGATCCCAATTTACGGAGAATCATTTACAATGAATTTTAAAAAAATCTAATTTGCGCTAAAAAAATTCCATCCGCAAGCTGGAGTTTGTGGAGGCTTTCCGAAAGCTGCCGCAGAAAATCATATGGAAATATGAGGCGGACGACCTCGACCTTCCCCCCAACGTCCTCACGAGGCCATGGCTTCCCCAGCAGGACATTCTGGGTAAGAGTTCGACTTTTAATTAACATGTGTCCCAGTATTGCATCATTATAATGAAATCTTAATCGCTCTAAATCCCTTGAAAAAATCTATATCAATAAATTGAAAACCATTTAACGGCCGAATTTTCGTTCCAATCTGAAGCGTTAAATAATAATGTCATTCATATTTTTTAGTTCAGTTCTTGATTTCTCTGTTGACGGTATCGACATCGAGATCCTCAAGCACATTGAAACTAACCATGGTATTAAATTACATCAGAATGATCAAATGGCAGGCCTTCTTATCTAAATAACAAAATAAAAGTTTTTGCTGTGATATCTGAAATCGTTTCAACAGTTCCAACAACGACTTTGGTCGTCTTTGATCTCTTTACTAACGTGTAAGTAGTCAATGATGAAAATTTTTGTAATTGCAAAACAAAATCGAAACATTCTTCGAACAGGCCATCCGAAAACTCGAGTGTTCATCTCTCACTGCGGCATCATGGGTGCGCAGTAGGCCAAGTACCACGGCGTACCAGTGCTCGCCGTACCAATCGCCATCGACCAGCCCCGCAATGCCGCCCGGATGGTGCGCCAGAAAGTCGCAATTTCCCTGTCGTGGAGCACTGTCACCGCGGATCAAATTGTTGATGCTCTGAATTTCCTTGTTAACGACACTAGGTAAGGTCATTATATATATAGGTAAGGTTTCTATTAATATAAATCCTTGCGATACACGTGCCCACTGCAGGAGCGAAGTGGTTTTCCGATATGCATATAGGATATGCATTCCGTCTAGGCCTTCGGATATGGCATCTGATCGTCAAACTGATTTATTAAATAGTCAAAAATGAAGACAAATTAAGGAACGAATCAATCTTTCAGCTCTACAAATCATCAGAATATGTATATCTTTGTTTTCTAGCAGCATCTTTTAAATTTGCAGCTACTCGGAGCGCCTGCGTCGCACGTCCGCCGTCCTGCAGGATCAGAAGGAGAGTCCCGCGGACCGCGCCGTGTGGTGGGTAGAGTACGTCATCCGGCACGGGGGGGCGCCGCACCTGCAGTACCCCGGCCAGCGCCTGCACTTCCTGCAGTACATCTGTGCAGATGTGCTGCTGTTCCTCGCTGTCTGCACTTACTTTTGTACTGACTGGCTAAATGCATCCTGCTCTACTTCGTAAACTTGTGCTTTGGAAAAGTCAAACCCCAGAAGACTAAAATTATTTAACTTCTCTGAGACTAAACGAAGAAAAGAATAAACTGAAATTTTTTGGTATTAAAACTAATTTCCAGCTCAAACGGATGCTCCTATGTTCATTCAATTTTGAATACGATCAACAATTTTGATTGGAAACTAGTTGAAAAGGCATGGATCAAAGTTTCGGTCTGGTTCAGGTCTTCGATGGCTCAGAAAATCAGTGGAAGCAGCCGACGAATAGGCCGGTGTTGGTGGCACTTAACATGCGAGACGTCGCCCCCGGATTGTTCTGAGGCAGACAAAGAGGAACGTTTATAATACCTATCGATAAAGAAGTATAAATTTTCATATAAAGAGTGTACAAATACTCAAGACACATCACAAATATGCATTACCTTAAATGACAGATCCACTTAAGAGGCTTGGAGCCAGATTATGTTGAATGGTTAAAGGTTAGTGAAATAAGATCAGCTCGTATAGCAAGTTTTAATGGTTATTGATCGCATGCTGTTAGTAATTTCAAGTTCAAATTACTGAGCTAACCTTAGAAAAGTAATTATATAGGCATGCTGATGGACAAGATGATGATTCAAGTTGAAAAGAGGAAATTGCGATTTAAGACACGCTAGCTTAACCAGCGGGGGTCCTCGTGCTCCCTCTTTATAAAAAAACCAGGTCGCAATAAGTTACTTCTTTCTTATTTTTAAAGAAGTTCAAACATTAAATTTTTAATTTCAAATATTTTACTTTTTTGTAGAGGTTAATTAACATACAATTCTTACAATCTATTAAATATTCAACAAATTAACATAAATTTCCCAATAATTTTTTTGTTTACGTCACTTGTTCTCAAACAATGCTTCGAGTTTAAAGCTTTGTATAAGCATTTGCTGGAAATTTACAAATAGTAATTTTTGCTAGGAAAATTGAATTTCATCACATAATTGAATATTTTAGTTCTAGTTTATCTAATTATCCCAGGAGCGCCGTACGATAACTTCCACCGTCGAATTATGTGCCATTTCAGAAAAAATCTTCCATGCATTTGTCCATGAACTTTCTGATACCAATAATAATTTTCCCTCACTCAATACCGAGCGAATGACATTTTAAATCATAATTAATATTGATAACGTCCAGAGTTCGCATGAATACTGAAGTAAATTAACGAATCCTAAAATTACCTCCGACTGAAACTAGTAATGGGAATTTTCTGTCGACAGCGTTATTAAAATTTCCAAATTGACATCGTCTCATCTGCAAAGTTAATAAGGTGAATATCCCACTCAAAAATTCATGCTGCAGACGAAGGTTGTAATTTCATTCCGCCAGCCGGATATTCCAAAATTAATTTCTCGTGCTGATTGGCTTTGGCAAGTTCAGTGATGTTGCTCCCAGGAAAATGAAAAATTAATTACTTGCCGAGTGGCCAATTGACAAATTCTTTGCTCTCAAAAAAAAAGTCAAATTTTGGTCGGATTATTTCGTTTGAGTAAAAATTCCAGCTTGAAGTAAACGAAGGGTGCTATAGGAATGATAGTCCCAAAAATTTCGAACGTAATATAATAATATTAATAGTATTTTGGATAGAATTAATTCATGATATTCAAAATCGCTGAAAATTTCTGTTGAGAAAAATATGCAACGTTTGGCGTATAAGGCACGCAGCTCTTCTGTAATATATAGTACTATCATATGAAGATTTGAGCAAAATAATTCAAACTCATCAAACAATTGAAATAATTTTATGAGAGTCCAATCATATTACTCATTCTTTACTAAAATTCAGGCATGAATTGTCGATAAATTATATTCCCAGATCTAGCGAAAGCCTATGCAAAGAAACCGTCAAAATTCCGAATTAATTTCCAGCCGGAGAGTGGATATTTCCGCCTGCCGGACCCCTGAATAGCCGAGGATATCAGTGGCCGGACGTGGGAATATTTAGACCAGCCCAAAAGTAAATGTCGTCACGAATGTTATGGAAAATATTTATTTATATGATGTAGGAACGTGGTGATGCTTTTGTCTTCGTGTAGTGGCAGCTTCTACGCTAATCATGCAGCATTTATTTATTGGGGCCTTGTTGCTCAGCTGCCCCGTATCATTTATACCTTTAATTGATGTGGTAAAGCCTGCATAAAATTCAGTTGTTAAATGGTTTTGACTATGATGTTTTGTACTGTAAACCTGTTTTTGTTATAACTACTTATTCAAATCGTATTGTTGATGCATAATAAATATTCACAATTTATTGGTTAACTGTTCTTCGTACTGTGGTTTGGCTGTGATCCGTCCCGATTACATCAGTTATGTACATCACTGGCCACTTAAATGAATTATCCCAGAAAGTTGGCCAATTAGGGCATCAAGAAGACCAGATTGTGAAGCACTAATTTAAGGCACTGTGTTTTATTATAATTCTTTTTTACAAAAAAATAACTGGTCAGTTTCCGAATGCAGTAAACTGAATTATTTCGTCCACTAAATCTACACATATACAGCTTCCCTCAAGACTTTTCTTAACCTTATCAGTCTTTAAATTAACTTTATCAGCTCCAGAGGTAAATTACCTATTATTATTATTATTATATTACTATTAGCAAGAAGCTTATGAGGTATTCAAGTTAATAAATGTTTTAAAAATTTAAATGCTTCTGAGATGATAGGAGCTCACTGGTAGCTTCAGCTTCAAACAAACATTGCGACAGAATACACGCAAAGCTTATTAAAATCAAATTAATATTCTTTATGAAATAATGCCACTTTTCAAGATAATCAAACATAAGTTTATTATCCTTTTTAGCACATTTTCTTATTTATGGAAATAAGGCGCTATTGTGCTCGTCATGTCCGTCCGTCTGTCTGTCCTGTCCGTCCATCCGTCCGTCCGTCCGTGACCACGTTTTCGTCGACGAGAAAGTGCGCTCTGTCACTCACTGCAGTGAGTACTGAGTTATATTTTTTATCTTTACCTGAAGTTAATCACACATGCACTTGCACTGACAACCTGAGACCCATTCGTGACGCACCTCTCGGAAATACGATTTCGCACAAACCAAGACTTTTTTGCACGTAATCGCAGGAATTCAAAGATATAAAGTAAGATTACTTGAGACAAACACTGTTACTCGCGAGTAACTTTCGAGCGTTAGGCGTTTACGACACTCTTACTTGCAGCAACAGTAATGTCGTAAAAGAGACGACTCTGATGAACATCTCTGAGTCGTGATTCTGCCAGTTTACCGAGACTCTGATGGCAGGCGTTTGCTTCCAAGAGAAGGTAAGTGACAGAGAATGAAATTCGCATAAAGTTGAAATTAACATGGATTTGTCCCTGTTAACTTAAAAAATAAGGTTACCAGGTTGCTTTAAACAACCCTCAGTTTAAATTTGCCAATATATTAACATGTGTAGTTTTTCTGGTGCTGATTACCTATGGATATATTGATAACGCTCTTTATTACGGTAGCGTATTTAATTAAAATATAGCCTCTTTACACTTATTGAATGCAATACAGTTACGAAAATCCATGCCAGTTTAATATGAAACTATGGTTCAAACCGTACACACTCACTAACTACACAAGAGTTACTTAAATCTCAGGTGTAAAGTCCGCAGATTTATTCCCTCTACACAATCGCAATTTTAGTGAATGATAATATCCTTCACACTGATAGGGAGGAGTATAACTCTTTCCCCAGCTGTCAAGATATTCGAAAAAGCCACTCAGTATTTCGGAACAATATTTGATTGTATTATTAATTAATCAGGCAAATTAAATCTCCGAATCGTAGGCTAGGCTAGGCTTATATCAGGCATATGGGCCTGATCTAGCCACATTTTAGAACATTTAAGCGAGCAAAATAGCAGAAATTCTTCTTGAACGAAATTTTCAGCCTGATATTCATTATATTGAAATTATTATTTTAGAATACTCTGTATTTCTACAAAAAATAGTTGAGCGCGTTCAAATAAAAAGTAAACAAAAAACTCTTTGAAATTACCTATATAAAAATGGCAGCGTTCTGTGACAATCCACTTTCCTCATTCATTAAAACCATTTTTCATTTAATTGTTAGCATTTTTTGTCATCTCACTTTAATTATATACAAGACAAACAATAAGAAAAACTGTCCTTCAACTTTTTTTCACAAGTGGCATCAGCTGGCAGAACAACTAAGAAGAAAATACGGCGGCAAGAACGACAGAGCGAGCTGAGGCTGCTGTAGCTCTCACAGCTGCTATTAGAGTACTGCAGAGCAAGCTGCAGCTGCTGCTCTGAAAGAGCTTATTAGAGTACTGCAGATTGCTGCTCTGGCAGCTCTTATTAGAGTTCGGCAGAGCGGGCTGCAGCTTTATCTCTGACAGCTCTTATTAGAGTTCAGCAGAGCGGGCTGCAGCTTTATCTCTGGCAGCTCTTATTAGAGTTCGGCAGAGCGGGCTGCAGCTGTAGCTCTGGCAGCTCTTATTAGAGTTCGGCAGAGCGGGCTGCAGCTTTATCTCTGGCAGCTCTTATTAGAGTACAGCAGAGCAAGCTGCAGCTGTAGCTCTGACAGCTCCTATTAGAGTTCGGCAGAGCGGGCTGCAGCTGTAGCTCTGACAGCTCTTATTGCGGCTACAGAGTCTTGGCGTCTCCAAATGAAATCTCAGCGCCACAAGAAAACGGATATCTCAGGAACGCGGTCAAGGGAAGGAAAAAGAAAGAAAATAATGTATTTAAAAGAGAAAAACTCAGAAAAGGCGGAAAATAAATAATTTTGAATGAAATTTGTAAGTTAATAATGGCTGGGAGACGGAGAAATTGGAGATTGCAATAAGGTGAAATATGATAAAAAGGCTGGGAAAATTGGGAAAAAATATATCATATAGTTGATAAATGGCAAACTGAATTGCACCGTAAGATGAGGGCGAGCAAAGATAAGTGAGGAAAAATGAAAAAAG